ATTGAAATGAAAAATAAATAAATTAATTTTTTTAAAAAAAGAAAGGTCTCTCTCATCAGCTCTTTTGAGTAAAATGCTGTTCTGTCAAATAGTGCTTTAAAGCTGAACATTCTAATTAAGACAAATTAGGAAGAAGGATTGGCCCTGCACTTCCAAAATAACAGACCTTCAAAAATCCTTTGTACAATAGACCACTCTTAGATTAGACTAGCAGATATGGCACCAGAGGCTGACCCTTCATATTGGGAATCAGCAAGGAGGAACAGTTACAAACAGATGCTAATTGGGGGGGTGGTGAGGGCGGAGGTATGGTGTTAAGGACGGTAAGATTGCCTCAGGATAGAACAGAGTTCAGAACTATTATACATAGTGTTGCTGTGAGTCACAAGCAACTCAATGGCACAGAACAACAACACAGGATATGAAAGGAGCTGGAGTGGGCTTGTTGATGTTGTGTATCACTGAGTCAGAACCAACTCATCGCTGAGCCTCTAGTGGGTTTTCAGAAGCAGTTTAATCACATGGGAAGAGATTGCCTATCTTTCTCCTGCATGCCTTTGGGACAGCAGTGCAGCTCCCTAGCACGAGGCCAGTAGTAAGGACTTGTACTGCCAACCCAGAGGAATGGAGTTCCACCAGTTTATCCATGTGAGAAAGATGAAAAGTCTCCTACTGTGACATTTACTGCCGACCTGTGTGATTTACTGCCTCTGCACATAACAAACAACAATGATATAGGACATGTGGAGGTTCTGGTGGGTCACACCTCATTGGTGCTTTGAATCAAGAAGCAGTTGTGTGGGAGAAAGACATTATTGTCTGGTAGTCCATGCCATTCAACTTCAGAATCTCAGCAGAGGGTTGGTTCCAACTCAAAGGTAATAAATTGCATTACTTAATAGAATGCATTCTTGAATAAAATCCCAACAATAAATTAACTTGTTTGAGGTCAAGTGTATCTTACTTTGATTTTAATTAAGAAACAATTATGCTCATTCCAAACCCCCCCAATTTGCTTTTCAGAAAATTACCTTTATCACCCTATCCTTGTCAACAATAAGTATTAACCTTTTTCTTATCTTTACATCCATTGTGATTTATAGAATTGAAACTCAGTGAGGAATTTTATTTTTCGTTTGATCCCTCTGACTTGAACAGTATCTCGAAGACAAATCCACATGATCTGTCCTGACTGCCCCAGTCCTACTAATTTGTCAGATCCCAATGTTTTGGAAGCTGCTACTGAGTCTCTTGCAAAATTCAACAGAGAGAGCCCCTCCAAGCAGTATTCTCTTGTCAAAGTCACCAGGGCTTCCAGCCAGGTAAGGTTAAAATGCCTGCGGACTAGTTACATATAAGGTACATCTTCTACTGTAGCTACAGATTCCCAAGGGAAGGGTAAAATCCCAAGTCTCTGGTTTTTATAATATCTAAGGATACTATTTCTCTGTAGTCCCTACTTTGGTATACTTGAAGCATATTCTATCCTTCTTTAGTTTCAGAGTTTGACATAGCATTGCTATCAGAGTCAAATGACTACATTTTAACTTCACTGGTTTTAGAGCAAGAAGAGAAATGGACACATTGCTCCCTTATTACTGTTGGTTTTTAAGTGCTATCGAGTCAACTACGGCTCACAGTGATGCTATGGACAATGGCTCTGAACTTGCCCCATCCTGTGCCGTCCTCATCATCTCTGACACACTTGACCCTACCTTTACAGTTCTTTTAGGGGATTCAATTTAGGGTCTCTATTTTGTAGCTCTATAGTCTCCTATCTGACTAACCACAGACCATTAACTTAGCATGTCAACAGCTACTCCATATTGAGTACTTCCATTACTACTACTTCTGTTACTACTCTATTCATAAAGTTTAGTTATATGAATTTGGAGAAATTTAAAAAAACAAACAAACAAAAACAACAACCCAAGCCTGCTATTTCCCAGTTGATTCTGGAGGACAGACTAGAGCCACCCTATTCGGTCTGGAGATGTATTGCACTGAAGAAGTCTACAGTCAGGGACCTCTCCAAATTACTGAGGAGCATTGATGTCAGTTTGAGGACTAAAGTGTGCCTGATTCATTTCATGTCATGGTCTTTTCAATCATGTGCTATGCATCTGAAAGTTGGGAAGTGGGTAAATAATTGATGTCTTTGAGCTGTGCTTTTGGAGAAGAGTACTGAATAACCCATGGACTGCTAAAAGGGAAGAAAATGTCTTGGAGAAAGTGCAGCCATAGTGCTCCTTGGAGGCAAAGATGATGAAGCTTTGTTCCACATACTTTGGGCGTGCTGTTAGTTAGTAGAGGCTAGTCCTTGGAGAAAGGACATCCTGCTTGGGAAATTGGGGGAACAGTGAAAGAAAGGAAGACCCTCAACCAGGTGAATTGACACAGTGACTGCAGCAATGGGCTTGAGTGTGTCTTAAATTGTGAGGACGGCATTAGATAGGATAGGGTTCAGATCTGTTGTTCATAGGGTTGCTATGAGTTGTACTCAACTCAAAAGCACCTAACAACATAGGGCTTCTGAGACTGAATATTTACAAAAGGCTACAGTCTCATTGTCTTCAGTGGAGCAATTAGCAGCCCAGTGCTGACTCAAATGTGTTACCAGGGCTTCTGCCAGAGAAAGAGAGGCATCTTTAATATTTGCACTGTCTTCGCATCTGTACCACAGGGAGAACAATTTCTCTAAGAAGCAATTCTGTTGGAAGGGAAAACAGCAAAACTCATCAAAGGAAAATTTAGAACACATTCAAATTCTTAAAAAGTGAACAAAGATATGGTGATTATTCTTTCAAAGGAACAAATAAAAAACCATGATTAGATTAGGCAGGGTCAATGGAATAGATATATTGATTCTCATTCTAGCAATGTTTGGTTTCTGCGAATATGATGTTTCTAGATCTGAGTTGCATGCTTATGTGGCAAGGTCTGACTTTTACCCTTTCAACTCTTATCTCCTAACAGTGGGTGTTTGGCCCTGGTTACTTTGTGGAATATTTGGTTGAAGAGTCTCCATGTAACAAATCTCAGGCCGACAGCTGCCCACTTCAGCCTTCTAACTCTGTGGTGAGTGTTCCCCAATGTCTCCATACTTTAAGATCTGTGTTCATAGTTAATGTATTCTTTTTTTAAATTTTTTAATTTTTTATTTATTTTTGTGTGAGTGTACCATCAAATCAGATCTGACTGGTACAGGAGGAGATTGTCCCTCCTTCCCTGGCAGAGCATCTGGTGGATTCGAACCTTGTGCCTCTGGGATTGTAGTTGCAGCTCCTTACCACTAGGCCACCAGAGCTCCCCTAGTTAATGTATTCTTATTTGTGGCACACCAGTTATCTACAAGGTATTGTAAGTATTTTAAGGTACTTCCTCCTGCCCTTATCTAGCAGCTTATTGACTAGTTAAAGATATGTCAAGTTCAGACATAATAAATCTGAATTTTTATCCAACATATGATGCAGCTACTGAAAGTGATCACTGTTGTTATTATGTACCATTGAGTTGGAACTGACTCATAATGGCTGATCTTCCAGCAGGTTTTCAGAGGCAATAATTCACATAGGAGGAAATTGTTCATCGTTGTCCTGTAGAGCAACTGGTGGACTCAAACTGTGTGCCTTTGTGTTGGCAGCACAACTACTCACTACATCATGTTGTTGTGTTATGTACCTTCAAGTCGGAACCAACACATAGCTGACCCTCCAGCAGGTTTACAGAGGCAGTTTAATCACACGGGAGGAGATTGCCCATCTTTTTTCTGCAGAGTAGCTGGTGGATTCGAACTGTGTGCCTTCAGGTGACCAGAATCTCTGCATTGGTTAGTGATGGTCTTTCTTTAGTCTGAACAAATCCTATTACTTTTTAAATATAATACGATGTTTCATTTCAAGGATTACCCTTGAAGAAGAAGGACAAAATCAAATAGGGCTTCATTTAAAGAAATGCATCTAAGATTAGGATGAAGGGTTTGAAATCATTGGAAGCACATTCTGTGTGAATGTAAATTGGCAAGATATATTTAAGTGCAATTGTCCAAAGACATGCCGGGAGCCCTTCTTCCCTTTATTTCCTTATTGATGTAACACTTTTATGAAGTCACAAACTATAAAATCCATCCTCTTAGTGTATACAATTCAATAGCTTTTAGTATCTCACAGAGATATGTTGATATAAACACTAATTTCAGAATTTTTCTGTCATCCCCAAAAGAAGCTCAATTGCCATGGGCAGACATTTCCTATTCCTCTTTCTAAGCTTGGCCAATTACCAATCTAATTTCTGTTTTTATGGCTTTACCTAGCCTGAATGTTTTCTATACATCCAACATTTCCCACTTATGACAATAGTAAATTGTACATTGTAATTCTACATGCATATGTTACAGCAACAAATGCACTGATTTTCAGTGGTTATGTAAATCAATTTATGATGTTTAGTCTTTTGTATCTGGCTTTTTAGCTGAGTTTGATTTTTAAGTTTCACTCAAGTTACAACATAAATCAATTTTTTATTCTTTATTGCTGAATAATGTTTTATTTCATGAATAGAACACATTTAGCTTATTCATATATCACATAATGACAATGTGAGTTACTTTCACAGTCTGCCTGTTATAAATAATCCATCCATGGACAGTCTTTTTTTTTTTTCTTCTCTTGGATATGTACATAAGAGTGGAATTGCTGAGTCATGTGGAACTCTATAGTTAATTTTGTAAGTGACTGCCTGACTATTTTCCAAAGTGACTGTTTTTCAATTCCATCAGCAATCTATGAGTATCTCAATTTCTGCGCATGCCTGCAAATACTTTTAATTATCTGTCTTTTGGCTATAGGAATCCATCTAGATGTGAGCTGATCTTTATTTACTTAATGATTTTCTTCGAAGTATAAGAGTTTGTTATTATTATTAGGTCTAATTCATCTGTTGTTGTTGTTGTTATGTGCTGTCAAGTTGCCTGCAACTCATAGTGACCCTATGTACAACAGCCTTAAAACCTGCTCTATCCTGTGCCAATCCCATCTAGACTTAATAATAATTAAGAGTTCTGGTGGCCTAATGGTAAGAAGCTACATTGCAATCCCAAAGGCACACAGTTTGAATCCACCAGCTACTCCATGTGAGAAGGCTGGACAGTCTCCTCCCATGCCATTAATTGCCTCTGAAAACCCCCTGGAGGGTCAGCTATGGGTCGGTTCTGATTTGACAGTACACAGCAACAATAACAATTCATCTATATTTTCTCTTAGTTATTTCTTTTAAAAAAATCATATCTATGTCCATCCTTGTACCAGATCTTAAAGTAATTTGTTTTAGATGAGAACAAAACAGAAATTTTTATGGTAATCTACATGAAAATGAGTAATGGTTCTTACCAAATTAAAAAAGGAAATTATAAAGATTTCATAAACTTTAGGTATGACTATTGATTAATAACAGCAATAAATAAAATGTTAAGAAAGGCAAGAAGCAAAGTTAACTCAGCACAGAAAAGTGCATAGAAGAAAGGTTTAAGTGATATCATATACACACACAAAAGAGCAGCAAAACAACCATAAAATCATACTTATCAATAATTACATTGAATGTGAGTGTATTAAATTAGGTATTCAAGAGTAATAGAGCAGCAGAATGGCTAAGAAAACATGACCCATCAACATGCTGTCTACAAAACATACATCTCAGACACAAGGACAAAGAAATAGATCTGTAGATATATAGATATAGATAGATATAGATATAGATAGATAGATCGTTCATAGGGTCACTATGAATCATCTAGGACTCCACAGTGCCTTACAACAATAACATATGACAACATCTAGAGAGCTATGTTGGCCTAGTGGACAGAAAGTTATGCTACCAAGCCCAGGGTGGTTTATTGTAATCTGCGGCCCTCAGGCCTGGTATAAATTGATTTTTGTCAAACCTTGTTCCAATTGGCACTGGTCTGTGCATTGCTGTACAGAGGTAACTCGTGGTTATTGTGATGCTAAACACTGTGACACTGATATGCCAAATGCAATAATGGTTTCCCATGGTGGACAGTGTTTGATGGAGCTTCCCAATTAAAACAAGCTTGGAAGCAGGAGTGGCATTCACTTGCGAAATGTCTTGCCTCCAGAAACTCTATGAACAGTGCTCAGATCTTTTATTTATAGGGTCACTCTGAGTCATCTACAACTCGACGGCACCTAACAACAACAGAAACAACTATATAGATAGATATGGATATGGATGTGGACATGGACATGGATATGGATATAGACAGATATAGGTATAGAGATATAGATAGATAATGACAATAAAAAAGAGGAATGGCAAAATTTATTTCTGTTAAAACAGACTTCAAGACAAAAGCCAGCATAAAAGGAAAGCTATTATATAATGATCGAAAGTCCAACTGAACAAGAGAACTTAACTATAATTAATGGGACTTTTTTGCCCAATGAAGAACTGCAAGATAAATTAAGTAAACTCTACAAGCTTTAAAAGAGAAAGAGATGACTCCACAATAATAGTAAAAGACTTTAATACAGTACTTTCAGTGGTGGACCAATGATGAGAAAGAAACTCAACAAAGATGCAGAAAATGTAACAATATAATTAACCAATTGAATCTTGTAGACATTCCACCCAATAAAAAGCACAATTGACAATCTCTGCGATGTACATGGAACATTATCCACAACAGACTGTACATTAGGTCACAAGGTAAACCTCCATAAATGGGAAAACAAATGACAAACACCTTCTCAAAACACAATAACATAAAATTAGAAATCCATAAGAAGACTTGGAGGGGGGAAATCAAGTCCATGGAAACTAAATAATGCCCTGCTTGAGCACTATCAGGTAATAGAAGACATAAAAAGAAATGAAAACTTTCTTGAAACAAATAAGAATAAAATCACAACATGCTAAAATCTTTGGAATGCACAAAAGCACTAGGTCAATTTATAGAAATAAACTTGCACATCAAAGAAATAGAAAAAACTAAAAACAACACACCTCCAACAATTGGAAAAAAGAACTGCAAATAAATACATAGTCTCCAAAATAAAGAAACTTATAGAGATCAGAGCAGAAATAAATTAAATAGAAGCCAGAAAAAAAAAACAATAAAATGCATTGACAAGCTAAGAAGCTGCTTTTTTAAAAGGACTAATAACAAAAAATTTTTTAAATAATAAAAGGACTAATAATGTTAAAAACTTTGGCAAGTCTGATAAAGAAAAAACTGCAAATAAGTAAAGAATGAGTGATGGCAGGTATCACAACAGAATCAACTGAAATAAAAAGAATAATAACAGAGTAACAGAGTACATTGAAGAATGATACCCCCAAAATTTGACAGTTTAGAGAAAATGGACAAATTTATAGAAACTCACTGCTTACCTACACTAACAAAGAGGTAGAAAATTTTAACAGATCCCTGAGTCATAGTTAACTCAGCAGCACATAACAGTAACATTGGAAGAGAAGTTGAACAGGTCATAACATGTCCAATAAGTGTCTTGACTCAGATGACTTCATTGGTGAATGCTATAAAAAATTCAGAAGAACTCTCACTAGTTTTACTAAAACTATTTAATAACTTAAAAAAAATTAACACTCCCAAATTCATTCTATAACACAATGATGACCCCAAAATATCAAAGCCTGGAAAAGATAGCACTAAAAAAAGAAAATTGTAGACAAGTATCCCTCATGAATATAAATGCAAAAATATTCAAAATCCCAACCGATCAAATCCAACATCATTTAAAAAAAATAGTTCATCATGATTAAGAGAGATTCATACCAAGTATACAAAGATGGATCAACATTGGAAAAGCAATCCATCAAAACTACATCAACAAAACAAAGGAAAAGAGCCAGAACGTTATCTTGATTGAAGCAGAAAAGATATTTGACCAAACACCCTTTTCTGGTAAAAAGGCTAAATAAAATAGGGATAGAAAGGAAATTTCTCAACATAGTTAAAAATATGTAGAGAAAACCAGAAGCCAACATCACTTTCAATGGAAATTGAAAACACTTCCTTTGAGAACAGGAAAAAAGGT